CCCCAAAACCCCAAAACCCCAAAACCCCAAAAATGCAATAATTGAAATTTTAATTAAAGATATGGAAAAATCAACCACTTTACTCACAGTCGACCAAGAGTTAATCAACAAAATTCGCCAAATTCAGAAGGCCATTTACCATGAAGAACATAAACTCCATCAAGAAATCGCAACCTCCCTCACCATATCTAACCCAATGGGCTATTCCAAAAAGCGACATATCCTCTTCCTAACCTCAATCCCTACTTCCAAGACTTATCCATCAATCGACCCTCCCATTCGCCCTTTATGTTCAATGCAACAGGGCCGACGTGTGGGTCTCTATTTCTCCAAAAGTAAGCATTTTCCACCTCTCCTTGCCCAAATTTCTGCTTTAATCTCTCTTCTCAAAATTGCACTTCTCACCACTCAGTCGGCCAAAACCTGTAAACTTGCCCTTCTCAAGCAGAGATTACTCATGCAGACGTAGAGACTTAGGAGAGGGCATCTTGGCCAGAGAGAGTGCCCAGGAACAGAACTTGGGGCTAGAGGGATAGATAAGGGAATGTATATGAGGATAATTAGAACACACTTGGAGATTTAGTGAAGACTTAGTGGTTTATTGAGGTCGTTGTGAATTAAATGGGATTTTAGCAAAACTTTAGATTCATAATTCTATAGATACACACAATAAAAACAGAACAATTTTGGAAAATCTAAAGACATCAAAGATAGATAAACTAAGTATTTCAAATTACGGAAACTCAAGATGAGTCACTACAATTCCAAAAGTCTTCAGATCGATTACAAGGTCACTCTGCACCTTCAGTGGCACAATGGTCCTCTTCAAGCTGACCATTTCTTCTTCCTAAACTCTTACTCCTGCTCAAGGCTAGTTCCCTAGCACAATCTGTGACCTTGTCATGGGCCAGTGTGATCTATGATAAGGTCAGAGGAATTACTAGGGGGAATAGGTGATTGGGGAATTTGAAATTTGTTAATTGAGCGGTGTATTCAGGTTGGGAAGATAATCCTCAGAAATTGGTCGATCTTATTGAAATCATCGACCAAGTTATTGAACAGAAAGGTGTCGGGAATCTTAAAATAAAAGATGCATATGTTTCACCAGAATTAGTGCTATCTATTCAAAGGAGATTTCCTTATGTAGTCCATGAAGATAAGCAAACTATGCAGTCAAACCAAATTTTCTTACCACGGCTTGAATTAGGCCATTCTAATCAAACTACTCTTCAGTCATCTCATACATAATGTCACATACTTAAGCAGAGTTACTAATTAGTAAGGAATTTTATAAAATTAATGCTCGAGTAACAAACAGTATTACCCAATTAGACTGTTTAAACTCTCATGGCTCTGAAATAAATCCCATAATTTCAACCACTAATGGAAGATAAGGGGTTTTGGGGTTTTGGGGTTTTGGGG